TAACTTGATCTCACCTCAGAGTATTCAGTTTACAGTGTGGACTTCTCAGTCCTGCAGAAAGAAACTCTACTGCTGGATCCTGCAGGTTGTTGTTACTTAAGTCCAGCTCTCTCAGTGTAGAAGACTGGGAGCTGAGAACTGAGGACAGAGCTTCATACCCTCTTTCAGAGAGATCAGGGACACTCAGCCTAAAAAACAAAACAAAATAAAGACATAATCTGAAAATTGTCATTTGATAACAAACTGTTTGTGATTAATTTAAATCACTTCTTGTGTTGAACCTTTGAAAGAAAGACAAATGTCAGTGTGCATTACTATTTATGGCTAAAAAACGTTTTAGTTTAAAATGTTCCCTGTGTAAATATAAAGACCTGGAACTTGTTCATTAAATGCTAAACAAAAACAAGTGATGACTCATTCTGTGAACAGGTGACAGTAGGGCTGCACGATTTTGCATAAAATGAGAATCACGATTTTTTGGCTTAGAATTGAGATCACGATTCTCTCACGATTTTCTTTTCCAGTATAAATATTTATTGCTAGGGATGGGTACCGGTGTCCGGTGCCATGATGGCACCGGTTCTGACATAAACGGTAGTAACCAGACCGAAAAGCAGCGCACATTTCGGTGCTTTATTTCGGTGCTTTTTTTTCCTGAGCTGTGATACACTTCTAGCCAATCATTTTACGTTTCCGAGGATAGTAGGCGGGGCCGGGTACGTACGTTCTGTTAGAGCAGAGCTACAGATTAAAAATGTCCAAGGCGAAGCGGTCAAAGTCTGGCTGTACTTCACAGCAAAAGATGCAAACTCAGCAGCAACAAGTGCTTTAAGCTGATACTGTGATACTGTCAAAGGAGGTAACACCAAGATCCGATGAAACACCTGGTGACGCATAGCGTTCTTTTTAAAAGCCAAGAAATGCGCCGTATTTGATAGCTTGCTGCGAGACCTCACACCGAGCACATCTACTGCGGGTGTGGTGCCTGTTATTGACCCGGAGTTAGAACATCCCCCAAAAACCCGAAGAGGAGAGTCCTGGCCCTAGCCCTGCCAGTGTAGCAGAAATGATGAGGATGATGATGCAGCAGCAGCCGTTCTTCTCTGCGTGAGTAGCTTAATGTTGTCCGTGTGTAATTTACGTTGAGTAGGCTAACCACGTTATTACATTAATGCATGTAAGGTGAACTAGCAAACATCATCATAGCTACAGTGGGGCAAAAAGTATTTAGTCAGCCACCGATTGTGCAAGTTCCCCCATTTAAATGATGACAGAGGTCAGTAATTTGCACCAGAGGTACACTTCAACTGTGAGAGACGGAATGTGAAAAAAAAAAATCCATGAATCCACATGGTAGGATTTGTAAAGAATTTATTCGTAAATTAGGGTGGAAAATAAGTATTTGGTCACCTCAAACAAGGAAAATCTCTGGCTCTCACAGACCTGTAACGTCTTCTGTAAGAAGCTTTTCTGTCCCCCACTCGTTACCTGTATGAATGGCACCTGTTTGAACTCATCATCTGTATAAAAGACACCTGTCCACAGCCTCAAACAGTCAGACTCCAAACTCCGCCATGGCCAAGACCAAAGAGCTTTCGAAGGACACCAGGAAAAGTATTGTAGACCTGCACCAGACTGGGAAGAGTGAATCTACAATAGGCAAGCAGCTTGGTGTGAAAAAATCAACTGTGGGAGCAATCATCAGAAAATGGAAGACATATAAGACCACTGATAATCTCCCTCGATCTGGGGCTCCACGCAAGATCTCATCCCGTGGGGTCAAAATGATCATGAGAACGGTGAGCAAAGATCCCAGAACCACACGGGGGGACCTGGTGAATGACCTGCAGAGAGCTGGGACCAAAGTAACAAAGGTCACCATCAGTAACACACTACAACGGCAGGGAATCAAATCCCGCAGTGCCAGACGTGTTCCGCTGCTGAAGCCAGTGCATGTCCAGCCCCGTCTGAAGTTTGCCAGAGAGCACATGGATGATACAGCAGAGGATTGGGAGAATGTCATGTGGTCAGATGAAACCAAAGTAGAACTTTTTGGTATAAACTCAACTCGTCGTGTTTGGAGGAAGAAGAATACTGAGTTGCATCCCAAGAACACCATACCTACTGTGAAGCATGGGGGTGGAAACATCATGCTATGGGGCTGTTTTTCTGCCAAGGGGACAGGACGACTGATCCGTGTTAAGGACAGAATGAATGGGGCCATGTATCGTGAGATTTTGAGCCAAAACCTCCTTCCATCAGTGAGAACTTTGAAGATGAAACGAGGCTGGGTCTTCCAACATGACAATGATCCAAAACACACCGCCCGGGCAACAAAGGAGTGGCTCCGTAAGAAGCATTTGAAAGTCCTGGAGTGGCCTAGCCAGTCTCCAGACCTCAACCCCATAGAAAATCTGTGGCGGGAGTTGAAAGTCCGTGTTGCTCGGCGACAGCCCCAAAACATCACTGCTCTCGAGAAGATCTGCATGGAGGAATGGGCCAAAATACCAGCTACTGTGTGTGCAAACCTGGTAAAGACCTATAGTAAACGTTTGACCTCTGTTATTGCCAACAAAGGTTATGTTACAAAGTATTGAGTTGTATTTTTGTTATTGACCAAATACTTATTTTCCACCCTGACTTACGAAATAAATTCTTTACAAATCCTACCATGTGGATTCATGGATTTTTTTTTCCACATTCTGTCTCTCACAGTTGAAGTGTACCTCTGGTGCAAATTACTGACCTCTGTCATCATTTTAAGTGGGGGAACTTGCACAATCGGTGGCTGACTAAATATTTTTTTGCCCCACTGTACATGCAGCTGTCTTCTTGTTTGATGGCAGATACTCCCTTCACCCTGGCCAAAAAGGCTAAAATGACCAAAGAAAAAGTGGAAAACAGTTAAACATGAGAGGTTTTTGGACAAAGTTTGTGTTTTTTCCATTGTTTAAGCACTGCTTCCAGTCAAGAGTGATACCATATATGCCCCATAGCTGCAGGAAAGGCACACATTGTTATCTTTTTACAAAAAAACAGCTGAACACGAGAGGTTTTTGGACAAAGTTTGTGTTCTCCATTCTTTAAGCACCGTTTGAGCACCGGCACCGTTTCAAAAGTACCGGTTTGGCACCGGTATCGGATAAAACCTAAACGATACCCATCCCTATTTATTGCACTTATTAACTGCACATCAACTTCGTAACAGTTGAGACTGAACATAAAAACAATAAATAAACATAAAAACAACAAAATGTTGTACTGCTTGAAATTCCGTCTCCACCGTTGCTCGACGCTGCGTGTACAGAGCAGGTAGTGCAACAATAGAAAAATAGTTGCGGGACGGCACTGTGTAGTGTTTGTCTAGGGTGTTGATCGTTTTCCTAAATCCCTCGTTTTGCACAGTGTTGATGGAGCCATATCTTTGGTCAGGTGATAAGTGATAGCCTCCGTAATGTCTTTGTGCCTGCGGGAGTTCGACGGGTAAAGGGAAGCGCTGTATAAGGTTCCCGTTATTGGTGTTTGGGTGGTTGACCAGGACGGATTTTCTCCTGTCACTTTCTCGTCATCCCTGACGTGCTCTCCGTTGTTTTTCCCGCTAATTTTAGCATCACACGGCACAGCTTCTGTATCACGTGGTATAAGGCTCCGCCCTTGTCATTTGTTGAGCAGGAAGAGTGAGCGCTTGTTTTCATGCAGAGTACGTCCCGGATCAAAATGCGGTACAATCGTCGTTTTTGTTTTTTTTTTAATCGTTGTCATTTGGAAATGAGATCGCACACAAGTATGAATCGAGATCGCGTTTTTCTAACGATTAATTGTGCAGCCCTAGGTGATAGGCAAGACTGTAAGTATGTAGCAATGAGAGGGAAGGCTGGCTCATATCCTGGTGAGTGAGGGTTAGTTACTCTAGGAAAAGGTCAAGGTATGATTGAGAGATTCTGGGAGACTGAACCAGTGAAATGGAAATTCGTTCAATTAAAGCAGATATAGTGATTAGTCCTTCCATCAGTCGTCCACAAAGCAGTGAGATAAAGTCTCAAGTCTCATTCTGCACAGTGTAAATGTCAGTGTCCTCCGGGTCCTCACTGATCATTGCATTCTGTCACAAATTGTCATGGTTCACAGACTGTGTACAGTCGGAAATCAAAGTGCACGACATTGGAGAGATTGAAAAACAATCAAGCATGCAGATCTAACAACAGGAAACCAGAAGAAACACGAGGAATATAATTGATTCAGCAGCTGCAGATCCTTGGAGCTGTACTGGTGAGGCAGATTGTAACATATAGAAGTGAACTCCTCTTCAGCTGAGCAGTGCACTGATGCAGAGCAATAAGACCAGAGGAGCAATGAGGGAGTTGATCACCTACGGCTCCATCACAGTCTTTGAACGTCTTCAGTCAGTACAGAATCATGCTGCGAGGCTTTTAACCAGCACATTAGACTGGACATTACTCCAGTTTAATCTCTTCACACTGGTAACCAGTTCATTTTAGGCGTTATTTAAAGTTTTAGTCCTTACTTTTAGTCCCAGTTTATGTTTCTGACTTTCTACAATCCTACAGCTCTTCTCACATCTGAGATCTTCCAGTCAAAGGCTTTTACTGGTCCCACTAACTCATTTATTCAGACTCTAGTATTCAGAGTGGCCTTTAACTAGTTTTAGGCTGTATGATGTTCAGTGTTTGCTGTTTAATGTTTTTATCTTCTGTGTTTTTATTGCCTGTTTCTATTGTAAAGCACTTTGTGGTTTTTGACCTGTGAAAGCTGCTGTATAAATAAAGTTTACTTACAGGATGATTCTGGACGTGACTTTGATAAAAGCTGACACCCAGATATGTTTAAGACACTCTGACATTTACTGCTGCTATCAAACATTAACTATAATATACTGTATTTAGTGCTGATGATCATGTAAAAAAATATGTTTAAGTTTTTAAGGGTCCATCACACATGATACTGTTTATGTTATAAATAAAGCCTGATCACATGTTTACTCACAGAGCTTTGTTGGAGGCTTTGATCACTGGCAGCAGCCTCAGAAGAGCCTCCTCTGAAGCAGAGTATTTCTGCAGGTCAAACACATCCAGATCTTCTTCTGATGACAGTAAGATGAAGACCAGAGCTGACCACTGAGCAGGAGACAGATAACCTGTGGAGAGACGTCCTGATCTCAGGGACTGTTGGATCTCCTCCACTAGAGAACGATCATTCAGTTCATTCAGACAGTGGAACAGATTGATGCTTTTCTCTGCAGACAGATTCTCACTGAGCTTCTTCTTGATGTACTGGACTGTTTCCTGATTGGTCTGTGAGCTACTTCTTGTCTGTGTCAGCAGACCTCGTAGGAGAGTCTGATTAGTCTTCAGTGAAAGACCCAGGAGGAAGCGGAGGAACAAGTCCAGGTGTCCATTTGGACTCTCTAAGGCCTTGTCCACAGCACTCTGGTGGAGAGATTGAAGTTTTGGTTTGTTAAATAATTTAGATTTCTTGGAGGTTGTTTGTTGTTCTTCCAGCAGATTGAGTCGAGAGTTGATGAAGGTCAGATGGACATGAAGAGCAGCCAGAAACTCCTGAACACTCAGATGGATGAAGCAGAACACCTTGTCCTGGTACAGTCCTCTCTCCTCTTTAAAGATCTGTGTGAACACTCCTGAGTACACTGAGGCTGCTCTGATATTGATGCCACACTCTGGCAGGTCTGGTTCATAGAAGATCAGGTTTCCTTTGTGCAGCTGATCAAAAGCCAGTTTTCCTAGATACTTAATCATCGTCCTGCTCTCTGGACTCCAGTGTGGATCTGTCTCAGCTCCTCCATCATACTTGACCTTCTTCACTTTGGCCTGAACCACCAGGAAGTGGATGTACATCTCAGTCAGGGTCTTGGGCAGCTGTCCTCCCTCTCTGGTTTCCAGCACATCCTCCAGAACTGTAGCAGTGATCCAGCAGAAGACTGGGATGTGGCACATGATGTGGAGGCTTCGTGAAGTCTTGATGTGGGAGATGATCCTGCTGGCCTGCTTCTTATCTCTGAATCTCTTCCTGAAGTACTCCTCCTTCTGTGGGTTAGTGAACCCTCTAACCTCTGTCACCATGTCAACATATTGAGGAGGGATCTGACTGGCTGCTGCTGGGCGTGTGGTTATCCAGAGGCGAGCAGAGGGAAGCAGTTTCCCCCTGATGAGGTTTATCAGCAACTCATCCACTGAGGTGGACCTTCTAGGGTCAGTTAGGATTGTAGTTTTGTGGAAGTCCAGAGGAAGTCGACACTCATCCAGACCATCAAAGATGAACACAACCTGGAAGTCTTCAAAGCTGCAGATTCCTGCTTCTTTGGTTTCAGTAAAGAAGTGATGAACAAGTCCCACCAAGCTGAACTTTTCCTCTTTCAGCACATTCAGCTCTCTGAAAGTGAATGGAAATATGAACTGGATGTCCTGGTTGGCTTTGTCTTCAGCCCAGTCCAGGCTGTATTTCTGTGTTAAGACTGTTTTCCCAATGCCAGCCACTCCCTTTGTCAGCACTGTTCTGATTGGTTCGTCTCTTCCAGGTGAGGCTTTAAAGATGTCTTCTTGTCTGATGGTTGTTTCTGGTCTGTCTGGTTTCCTGGATGCTGTTTCAATCTGTCTGACCTCATGTTCATCATTGACCTCTGCAGTCCCTCCCTCTGTGATGTAGAGCTCTGTGTAGATCTGATTCAGGAGGGTTGGGTTTCCTGCTTTAGCGATGCCCTCAAACACACACTGGAACTTCTTCTTCAGGGTGGATTTAAGGTTACGATGACAAACTGGAGCTGGAAGTTCTGAATAATAATAATAAAAATACAACTTCAACAATCACATTTTACAAATCGCTGACGACATTTTCTGACCCACTGAGAAATGACTGAACACACTGGTGTCATGAGTGTCTCATTTATCTAACAGCTTAAAACCTTAAGTAAGAAATCCTCTTACGTCTCTGCAGACGGTCAGCCAGCTCCTCCTGCTTCATTCTCCTCAGGAAGTCCACTGTGATCTTCACAAATGCCTCTCTGCTGCTCCTCTGCTCATCATCCTCCCTCTGAAACTCCAAGCACTGGGGCTTATTTGGATTCAGAGCCTTCTGGATCTTCTTCAGCTCGTTCTTCACAAACGTGATGATGTTGTCCTCCAGCAGCTGGAACAGAATATTTATGAATGACCCACCACTCTGAACTTCAGTCCACACAACATCCACTTCTTTACAATCAAGAAGCATATCATCCACGATCTCCTCACCAATTATAAGTTTGACTTTATCTGATTAACTGAGAATTTCTCCACAACTCCACGGTCCCAAAACGCTGATTCTGTTCATATGAATGCAGCGATTTCAGTGGGAGAAACATTTCACTGGTGTTCAGAGCTGAACTACCAACAGGTTGATGATCGAAGCCAGAAACTTGGCGATGTTATAGGTGACAGAGTTGATCATACAGACAGCTGGTCTTAAAGGTTCACTCTGTTTACACATACAGATCAGTATTTAAGGTTTGACTCTCATCATCCACTGGAGCACAAACTGGGCGTCATCAGGACGCTACAACACAGAGCGAACGCCATCCCCACAGACACAGCAGCCAGGGAGGCAGAAGAACATCACATCAAGAAGGTCCTGAGGAAATGTGAACCAGCTGACCAAACACATCCTGCTGCAGGATGTTAACATAGCAGCACACTGATGATCCACTCACTGTGAACAACACATTTGGACCTGATTTGCTGCTCTGGTTTACACGTGTGTGTAACTCTTAGAGCTGATTGGCTGCTTTTTATGGGGGCTGGGTCTTTGGAAAGTGAGCAAACCACAGTTTTAGTAACACACCCTGAACTGCACACTTTAACAAACAACATGAGATTTTAACTGTAATGTAAAAATCCTGTGATTCACTGTTATTAAGCACAAACACATCTATGGCCCCGTTTCCATTAGTAGCTGCTCAGATCGACTCGCCACAGGTCGCCACGACTGGACTGGATCCACTGGTTTCCATTACACCACCTAATGTGGTCGTCTGAATACAGCAGAGTGTTGACTCACATCATCAGTAAGTGCTAATGCTGCTAATTTCCATCATATTTGTCATTTATTTCTCAGAGTTATTGAAGAAACAGTTATTCAGCTTCATTCCCACTGATCTCGACTACAAACTGTTTCACTTTGGTTTCTGTTTAAAGCCTCGATGTTTAAAACGTTTCCCTGTGATCACATTTGCACCATCTGATTTCAAAGTTTGTTTCTTTTGGTCATTTAGTCCACAGAGTCCTTGGTGTTCTGAAAGGGACCTATAAACAAATGTATTAATATTAATAATAAAGTAGTTGTTGTACATGTACAGACCATAAACATGGAGTCCAGCTGTGTTTGATGCTGCTGGGCAGACTGACCACTGGGACCCTCTGAGCTCTGCTGCTCCACTCTGTGGATGAACCATGGACACACACATGAAGCCACTTTCATTATTAAAATGTGAATTTAGCCTCTAAAAGCTGTGTTCAGTCAGTGTTGCTGCTTCCCTGTGTCTGACCTCACGTATGTGCTTCTGAAAGAACTGTTAAAAATCCCGTAAACACTTTTTAACCTGTGAAAAAACCTTTTCAGAACAGTTTAAGCTGTTATATGTTGAACTCTTGGCTGACATCATATTAAATGCTGTGGACTCAGAATATGATGTCCCTCAAGTTTACATGTGTGAAGGCAGACGAGTCAGTACTTTGGTGATACAGTGTAAAGCTGCACTGATTTCCATGAACAGCACTGTGGTTCAGTGTTGTCCTGATGGAGTAACAGCAGCCAGTATGATCCAGGCTTTAGCTGCTGGGTCTCTGTGTGACCTCTCAGACTGTTTAACAGATCAGACACAAAGAGAATCAGAGCTGTTCTTTAAAGACAAACATGAACCCACTCAGGTCACACTTTCCCCACAGATATGAGCATCACTGTCCTCAAACAGCAAATGACCAAGTCGAACATTTGGATCTTTTCTCTTTCATTGTTTTCTTTTTAATGAATCTTTGTAACAATCTGAGGATGTTTCAGGTCATATTTATCCAGGAAACACAAACATGTAAAGGAGTCATCACAGCTCTCTGACCTCGTTGCTCCAGGTTCACCACTGAAGTCTGGAGGGTTTCCTTTGGACCGGTCACTCCTCACAGACGGACAGCTGGACCCTGCAGACTGTGACCTCTGACCTCTGCAGACACAAATATGATTGAAGCAGCTGTGATGACACAGACTGCAGATAATGCAGCTGTTTCCTGTCAGTAACATCCTCTTAGCATATAACCCCAATTTTAGCCTCTTTACACTGGCTCCCTGTCCCCTACAGGATCCAATTTAAACTCTTACTTTTTGTTTTTAAGTCACTCAACGCCCGAGCCCCCCCCTACTTGTCAGAGCTCCTCTCTGCCTATGCTCCAGGAAAACCCACGAGATCTAGTTCAAAACTATTGTTGTCCATTCCACGGACTAACCTCAAATCTCGTGGTGATAGATCCTTCTCTGTGGCAGGTCCCAGACTTTGGAATAGTCTCCCCTTTAATATTAGATCTGCTCAAACTCTGGAGCAATTTAAATCTTTACTAAAGACACACTTTTACGCTCTGGCTTTTAACACATTATGACCCAAGCATTTTGGATTTATCTGAATTAGTTAGTATTGTTTCAATTCTTCTATTCTATTGTTTCTATTGTTATTATTGTATTACACTGTAGTTTTTAATTTATTGTTATTGTTAAGCACTTTGTGCAGCATCGGCTGTTGGAAATGTGCTATATAAATAAATCTGACCTTGACCCTTGACCTTGACCTTAGATTAGAGTTCAGCTTTTTACAGGAAAACTGGACAAAACTGATTTTTGTTACAAACTCATTTTCATTTCCTCTCAGCTCACAAACACAGTCAGACAATCAACCAGAGTCAACACTGATTATAATGTCAGTGCAGAATTATTTCTGTTACTCAGTGAGTTCAGCTCTCTGACCTCGTTGCTCCAGGTTCACCACTGAAGTTTAGAGGGTCATCTTTGGACCGGTCACTCCTCACAGACGGACAGCTGGACCCTGCAGACTGTGACCTCTGACCTCTGCAGACACAAACATGATTGAAGCAGCTGTGATGACACAGACTGCAGATAATGCAGCTGTTTCCTGTCAGTAACATCCTCTTAGATTAGAGTTCAGCTTTTACAGGAAAACTGGACAAAACTGATTTTTGTTACAAACTCATTTTCATTTCCTCTCAGCTCACAAACACAGTCAGACAATCAACCAGAGTCAACACTGATTATAATGTCAGTGCAGAATTATTTCTGTTACTCAGTGAGTTCAGCTCTCTGACCTCGTTGCTCCAGGTTCACCACTGAAGACTGGAGGATGACCTTTGGACCCGTCACTCCTCACAGACGGACAGCTGGACCCTGCAGACTGTGCTCTGTCCTCCTCTTCCTCCATCATCATCTTCAGTCAGTCTGAGAGGTAAACCACAAACACTCAGTGAGTTCACATTAACAGGAGGAACTGAGTTACAGTCGCTGACCTCTGACCTGTCATGTAACATAGAAACCAGGTCAATATGTCTGTAGGTTCAGTCATCCAGGTCATGTGATCTAAGGAGCTTGGAAAGAAAAGAGACGTCTTTCAGTTTCTGGAAGATATTTCATCCAAGAAGCTTCTTCAGTTCAAAAACCAAATGGTGGAGAGTGTCAGATATTTAAACCTGAGACGGAAAGAAAGCATGTCGCTGACCCACCACTGATCATGATCAATGGTGGGTCAACAATATAAACACTTATTTCAAGGATGAAACTGTGAGTCTGATCACTTGAGCACAAACATCTGGAGCACAAACATCTGGAGCACAAACATCTGGAGCACAGACATCTGGAGCACAGACATCTGGAGCACAGACATCTGGAGCAGCATGTCGATGCTGTTGGTTGAGATGCTGAAGACTGAAGTCCAGGCAGCTCCAGCAATGATCCACTGATGTTGTTTTATTCCACGTATGAATGTTGTTATTGACAGAGATGAAGTTACTCAAAAAAGTCATTATTACACATATTACACAGAACACTTTAATTAAAAGTAATGGAGTATGTTACGTCATTACTCCTCATAACAGTACTTTCATGTTACTGTGTAAAATGAGCTGAAACACTGTCTCATAATCACCATAATCTAAAGCTGAGGTACAGCCCCACACACCAACACAGATCCTGATGAGGTCACGTGATGTTTCTCTGAGTGTTTATGAACACAAATCAAAGATGAAACAGCACAAAGACACTTCAAAGTGATTCTACTGTAGAAACATGAACAGGTAGAAACCTGCAGCCTGACTGCTTATCACTTTGTTACCTGTTCAGGTTCAGCAGCAGCAGCTCACTTTATCACGGTGCTGGTCTGGGGTCAGTGTTTACTCAGCTTTAACATCACTCTGGGTTCTTGGCTAGCTTAGCGTTAGCTTAGCTTTAGCTTAGCGTTAGCATGCTGTCAGGTGTCTCGTGTGGTGTGTAAATATTAATCACAGTGACAGTAAAGGAGGTAAAGGGCTGTGACGTCATCACGTACGCTGCGTCCTCTGAGTGAACTCACAAAGTACAAACTACAAGCACACAAACACGAACGTAGCTCAGAGTGGCGGACACACTCGGCCTCGTTGGTCCAGCTGTGAGTCCGTTACCGTGAACTATGGAGCAGCAGATTTGTGCTGAACTAAGCTGCACACAGCTGATGTTAGCCAGGAAACATTACACACTGACTTTAATACAAACACACACAGTTTGTTGTGTGAAGAACTCAAACATGAGCTGAACAAACAGTAAAGTTCCTAAAGACAAACTGTTAAAGGAGGAAACAAAGCAAACTTACAGTTTCTTCACACACCAACAACAAGCGCCACTCCACGAAGTTCAGGAAGTGAAAGTAAACTTTCAGCCTAATGCGGCGTTTGAAGACAATCAGGGGCTTTGAAACACTATGCTGCGTTCAGGTGCACCTCAGAAACTCCTAAACCTCTGGCAGGCTGTGATTTATTTCTGCTGGTTTTCCTGTTTGAAGCACAAACATCTGTCATCACTTTGTTGTTCTTCTTCCTGCAGCGTTTGAATATTTCACCACTGAACTGATGTTTGTTTAAAGCTCATTTCAACCTGTTGAAGTCATGAATGAAAGTGCAGACTGAGAGTGGATCACATGATGTTTAAGGTGTGTCATGTTGACACGTTCAGTATTGTCACACATGTCTAGATTGTCCCTGATATCAGAACTGCTCAAACACTGATGATTATATTTGAAGAATTATTCCTGATGGCAGCAAAGTTTGAATGGAGCTCTCTGTCTGTGCTGATTTGTCGCCCTCTGGAGGTCAAAGCACAAACTGCATGATTTCAGTGTAACCACTGACCGATGGATGCTTCGTAAATGCAATCGCAACACACCTATTACCTGTAATATACACCTGTAAATGTATTCTGTTGGTTTACTCTTATTTCAAACGACGTTTCTTACCTTTGATCAATGAATGAGGAGCGTTGGGATGTGTTGCGAGCGTTGAGTTACTTATTTTCTCTCCCGAAACGTAAAAGAGGAGATTTTTTAAAAGTGCCGCCGCATCTCAAACTCGCAACAGCGCCGGAAGACCGTAGTGGCCAAAAGTATATTACACCCGTAGTGGTTTAGCACTACCATAGAGAAACGGTTTAGGCCGTTTAGCTAAACAATCCCAGGCTCCCGCGCGGGAATCTACCAGCAATTCTTATGTGCCATGACTACTAAGCAGTTACCACAAATTTTGCAGATATGCCAATAATCATTCAACCATGAAAGGTTTTTATTTACAGACAGAACAGTTTGTTATACCTGGAGTAAAAAACACTTTTATCACAAATGTTGTCAATGTTCTTTCAAATTGTGTCTCGTTATTGTTCTCCTGCATCCTGCTGTCTAAACCCAGCAGCAAGATTATAACCTGGAATGTCTTTGTTTGTGTTTGGAATCAATTTTGTTTAATATAATTGTTTCTTTTTTCACTGCATGTCAAGATGCAGAAGAAAGTTGCGCCATATCCAGGGAAAATCTCTGTGGCGTTCCACAAGGGGCCACTTGGATACCTTCTCCAGGACTCGTCAAAAGAAGCTCGAAGGATTAAAAATGACCCCAAGCTTCAGGACAAGTCTGCACCTGTGAGGGAGGACGATGCTCTGACTGTCATCTATCAGAGAGGAGGGGATGCCTCTGACATGAAGGAAGTGCAGGGAGAGTACATCCTGCAGTTTGGAAAATATAAAGGGAAATCTTTCCGGTGGCTTCTGGAGAATGATGTCGGGGACACCATGTACCTGATCAAAGATCTCCAGAAGCAAGAGGCTGCAGGGACCTCTGTGGAAGAAGGGCATGGCAAGGAGAGCTTGCATTCATTTGTACAGTAAGCCCTCAGCTTTGCAGAGATAAAAACTCTTCTGAGCTACGAGACCAGCAGAGTAAGTGTTGCTGCAGAAGCCTCTGAGGATGATCAGCTGGTTGGCTTTGGCTCACGAGCCAAGAGCACCTGGAAGGAGATTTGTGACAGTATAGGTACGTAATGCAGAAAAATTGCTCCACAGGCCATAACGCTATATAATATAAATAAAATGATAATGAACTAAAATTAAAAAAATAAATGTTATCCACAATAAGTAGATTGAAAATGGTGTTTAACTTTTGATAATGTAACACAACCTTTGTCCCAACCAGGACTCGAACCCGCGCTCAGACAGTTCAGTGTAAAAAACAATCTTTTTTTTCCAATGCCTGAAAAGCTGCGATTTGATTGGCTGTTTCTCCGTTACACCTATACGTGATGGGCCCCCGCGGAGACAGGAAGTGTTTTTATGACTGAAACACTGAGGCTGTGTCCCAATTCAGGGTCTGCACGCTTGAAGTACACATTTTAAGTGCGATTACGTCACCGCCACACGACGACGGCTGTCCCAATTTGAAGTGTACTTCAAATGCATACTCATATATACTCATATATATATATTATATATATATATATATATATATATATATATACATACATATATATATATATATGTATATATATACATATATATACATATATATATATATATATGTATATATATACATATATATATATATAGCAGCAGCAGCAGCTGCAGCTGCTGCTGCCGACTCAGTCTCTGTTGGACCAGCTTCTGTTTAGACCGATGCACGTCACCCTGAACCCACAAACTGTGCTGCTTCCTGCACACAAACATCAAACACACGCCACAAACTGACTGTGATATCACGTTTAGCAGGTACAACATTCAACATCCTGGTTTAGCGTGTAAGTAGACACACAAAGCTAGTAGCCATTAGCAACAGAGCGCTACTGTGGCGTAAGGAGGAAGTGTGCGTCCAGAGCTGAGGAGAGAAACCAGCTGCACACTGTGACTGCAGTCTGCAGCAGTATCACAGTTTCAGGCTTCTTTTAATTCGATTCGATTCATCATCCACCAGTTTCCCACTGCTGCAGTCACCACCAGCTGCACATGGGCACCCTGGGGAATGCCCCACCCTGACCTCCACCTTTTGCTTCTCTTCTAACATTTCCAGCATGCTCCAACCATGACCTCAGCATGGAGAAACATCCTGTGTGCTAACAGCAATAGATGCCACAGCCTAAGGACAGACGGGCCTTGTTTGTCCAGCACATCTCACAGATGCTCGATGAGACTGAGATCTGCCGACGTTGAAGGCCAAGGTGACCCCTCAAACCCTTCCTGATCTACTTGTGCTTTGTGTGAAGACTCCAGCGACACTCGAAGTATTAGAGAACAGCTGTACTCAGTGGCCAACGCCTTTTGGGTCATTGCAAAATGTCAAACAGCTTGTGTTTAAATAAAAAAGACTGGAAACAGAAAAAGATCCAAGTGGACCAATCACACCTTCACAAACGCAATGACCCTGATGAAGGCCACTAACACGTTATGGTTCCCTGATACTCTGTGACTGGAGTCTTCACCTCGTCAGATCTTTGTCTTCTCCGTGCACCTTGGAGGTGAAGCTGCCGTCTGCTTGTGTTTGTGACATTATCCTAATGAAGTGTTGCAGACGTGTCTGTGTGCACAGCATTACTCCTGTACTTTCATGAACGGACTACAGCTTAATGATTGTCTCCGACCGAGACCTTTGGAGTCCGGAAGTGGGCCGTTTGGTTTGAGCGGTCACAGCTGAGGCACAAACTCACTCTTCTAAGAAGTTTTGCTGTGGACCGATGATAGATCCAGGTCTGCAGACTCTGATCCAAGCAATCGCCTCGGCTGCAGTAAACCGGAAGTGCTTCATCAGGTAGCAGCCAATCAGAGTGCCCGTGCGGCCTAATCCAGCTGTAAATGGATGGAGTGTTTAAAGAGACAAAGTTAAGATAAAAGAAATAAATGACATCAATTAAACATAAAGACTTGCAGTCCTACCTTTACAGTGCACCGCCACTGCCCCGTCTGTACTTTCACACACATGCAGAAAGCGTCTGACGATGAGGTCAGAGGGCGTGGTCCCATCAAGGAAGAAGAGGTCGTGGTGCTCAAATCCTGCATCCTCAAACCGCCTGCCATCATACAACGTCCTGTTCAGACGAACCACGGTCGTTATGTCATTTTGGCAAAAGTATGAGAAGTATGCCTCGGGTGTGTGGAGGGGATAACCTGGAGACAGAGTCAACAACAGCTGAGTTACGTCATACGTTTCAATCAGCGAGCGTCTGTTTTTAATGCGAACGTAAAATAAGATTCAATGACGTAGTGTCAGCTGATTTATGTTGTAAGGTAAAGACGTTAAATACAGAGAAAACCCAACGATCGGACGGCCCCAAGCACCTGCTGACAGCGGGAAAGAAAAACTCCCTTTTAACAAGAACCAGGCTGAGGGAGGGGGCGCAATCTGCCTCATGTGGTCGGGTGGGGGGAGGACAACAGGACAAGAGATGGACGAGAGCCAGAGGGGAATAATAACTACGTGCAAAGTGGTGTAAATACACAGAAAGTAAAAAGAGCTGAGGGATGGAGAAGCATGAGTGCATCATGGGAAACCCCGAGCCACTGCAGGGTTCAGGCTTGTCTAATCCAGCCGTAACAACACGACAGCACTAAGCAGGAAACAATGCACGCCGTCAGAAGACAGCAGGGTAAGGTTAGCTCTTCTCAGCTGCTTCAGGACGTGCAGGCACTGAGGGGCTGCACAGGCCTTCTGTCAGCCCAGCAACGTGAGCACTGGTGTTGGTTTGGAGGCATGCTTTTAGCTTTTAGCTTAGAGATTCTGACTCACCACGAGAATGAGGGCTACTGAACGCCAGAACTTTGCCCGGAACGATCCAGTTCATATCTCCATTTTCAACTCGCTAAAAGCACAAAAAGAAAGGAAAGACTGTGATAGAGGTTAGCCACATATCAGTTAAAACATGGATCCAGAACACCTTAATTATACCACCACTGCAGTAATGAACACGTACGGGCTTTTACCTTTCATTGGAAATCAGTTTTGTTGACCTTTACTTCACTGACTGTCTATCACTTGGACGGGTGAGCTATGGATCAATCTAACTGAGAAACTGAGGAAGTACAGCGTGCACCAAGGCAGGCCTGGACATCGTACGAGCTCTTGGTTGGCCCTGACTGTGTTACTAACAGCACTGCAAATAAACTGGATGAATAACAAGCGTACGTTAGTTATTTCTTCCTGTATCCTGGTCCTGTTTGCATTGATATCGACCTGTAGCACAGTCTCTGCAGTCTGTTACCTCATAATGTTCATATTCTTCTGCACTGAACCTTTCAAAATCCAGGAAACCATGTTGTAATGCCTGCAGAGGAAAAGAGCAGGAACAGATTTTCACAACAAAAGCACAACTCCCCCAAAGGGCTGAAATGTTTAGTGTTATAGTGATCTGCAGTGGTTTCACAGATTCAGTTCAGTTTTTCTTAGCACCAAATCACAACAACGGTCACCTCAGGCAGTTAATATTGTACGTAAAGACCCTACAGAGGAAACACAATCAGACCACGAGCAGGCACACTGGTGACAGTGGGGAGGAAACACTCGTTTTTAACAGAAACACATGTTCACCAGAACCAGGCTCAGGGAGGGGCGGCAATCTGACTGACTGCTGAAGGCTTTTCAGCGAGTTTTTAGGACTTCCTGATAATAATGAATTACAGTCGTCCAGCCTGGAAGTAATAAATGCATGAACTAGTTTTTCAGCGTCACTCTGAGACAGGATATTTCTAACTTTAGAGATGTTGCACAAATGGAAGAAAGCAGTCTTACATATTTGTTTAATATGTGCATTGAAGGACATGTCCTGGTCAAAAATGACTCCAAGGTTCCTCACAGCGTTACTGGAGGCCAAGGTAATGCCATCCAGAGTAAGATCTGCTTAGATACCATATTTCTAAGCTTTTCAGGGCCGAGTACAATAACCTCAGTTTGATCTGAATTAAGAAGCAGAAAGTTAGCGGCCATCCAGGTCTTTATGTCTTTAAGACATTCCTGCAGTTTAACTCATTGGTGTGTGTTATCTGGCTTCATGGACAGATAGAGCTGGTTGTCATCTGCATAGCAGTGTAAATGTATGCTATGTCTTCTAATGATGCTGCCTAAGGGAAGCATGTATAATGTAAACAGAATTGGTCCTAGCACTGAACCCTGTGGAACTCCATAATTAACCTCAGTGTGTGAAGAGGACTCTCCATTTACATGCACAAACTGGAGTCTATTAGATAGATATGATACAAACCACTGCAGTGCAGTACCTGTAATACCTACAGCATGTTCTAATCGCTCTAATAGGATATTATGGTCGACAGTATCGAACGCTGCACTGAGGTCTAGCAGGACAAGCACAGAGATGAGTCCACTGTCAGAGGCCATAAGAAGATCATTTGTAACCTTCACTAAAGCTGTTTCTGTGCTGTGATGAGCTCTGAAACCTGACTGAAACTCTTCAAATAAACCTCTGCAGATGATCTGTTAGCTGTTTGACAACTACTCTTTCAAGGATGTTTGATATAAAGGAAGGTTGGAGATTGGCCTATAATTAGCTAAGACTGCTGGGTCTAGAGATGCTTTTTGAGTAAAGGTTTAACTACAGCCAGCTTGAAGGCCTGTGGTACATAGCCGATTGTTACATCCTGGGAGGCTGTGGGAGTGTGTGGGCGTGGTGTTGTCTTCTCCCTCTCCTCCTCCTTCGTTCTGGCCCCTCCCCTTGTCTCTCTCTGCCCCTGCCTTCTCCTTTAGGTCACACCTGCTGCTCATCTGCTCTCGTTACAACCAATTACCCTCAGGGGTGATATAAGCTGGAGAAGAGCAGTGTGGAGGAGGAGGGAGAGGTTTCTGGTGGATTTCCTCTGTGCGGGTCAGAGTGTGTTACTGGCTTAGGTGTGGAACAGCCTGCTGCGTGTGGCTCTTTGTGAGTAGTGCTTAACTGAGCAGTGATTGCCCATGAGTGACGGCAGCCTTCACTAGTTTGTGTGGCCTGCCTGGATATTGTTTGCTAGCAGTGTTGCTGTCTCTTTCTGTTGAAGCCTTATTGTTGCTTCCTTTGTTGAAGTGGTCATTACCACTTTGGGTTGATCTCCCTGATTTCTCATTAAAGCAGCGGTGCTGTCTCCTTTTGTTGTTGCCATTTATATGATTATTGAGGTGTTTGCCTACAATAAAGATCTATTTTATATTAAATACCTCTGCCTGGCGTTCTTTTCATTCCACCTGGATCTAACTGTTACTGTCCCCCACCCTCATCGCCTAGCTTTTAAGTGGGGACGTAACACCGATTATTAGAGATAGGTTGATCATATTTAAGATCGAAGCATTAATTAATGTCAGGACTTCTTTGAGCAGTTTTGTAGGAATGGGGTCTAAAAGACACGCTGATGCACTGACTATTTCTTCTTTAGTCGTTTGTTTTCAATTCCTGTGTGTTTGTACATCACTGAAGTATTTAATCATTAGTAATTATTAAACTCCTTTGTCTCTGCTCTTACCCCTCACCTGTCACAGTGAACTGCTGCCTCCTTAAACCTGGTTCTGTTGGAGGTTTCGTCCTGTTGGAAGGGAGTTTTTCCTTCCCACTGTTGCCAAGTGTGTACTTCTAGTGCAGTGCTGCAGGCTCTTTACCTTATAAGTTAAAGTACCTTGAAGTAACTGTAGCTTAGAATTAGTGCTATGAATAAAACTGAATTCAATTACTGTTGTTACAGAATAAGAGAACAATTTCAAATGTGGCTCAAACTGGGATTTTTGCGTTAAAATGAGGTGTGACACAAATGAAGTTACTAAGTGTCATTTTAATGTTACTAAAATCTTCTGTGTTAGACGTTGTTGCTACCTTGTTGATTCCTTGTAAGCAGTTTAGCACGGTGAGGTTAAAAGAGCACTCTCCAACCGCTGCGTCTCTGTGGCACACACACACACAGACACACACACACACACAGACACACACACACACACACACACACAGAGAGACACACAGACACACAGACACACACACACACACACACACACACACACACAGAGACAGACACACAGACAGACACACAGAGACACACACACACACACACACACAGACACACACAGACAGACACACACACACACACACAGACACACAGACACACACACACACACACACACACAACACACACACACACAGAGACACACAGACACACACACAGAGACACACACACACACACAGACACAGACAGACAGACACACACAGACAGACACAGACACACACACAGAAACACACAGACACACACACACACACACACAGACAGACACAGACAGACACAGAGACACACAGACACAGACACACACACACACACACACACACACACACACAGACACACACAGACAGACACACACAGACACACACACACACACACACAGAGACACACAGACACACAGACACACACACACACACACAGACACACAG